CACTTCCTGTTTTTACATCTTTTTCCTTCTTTTCTTTCAGCATGTGGTGGTAACAACACCACCATGGGACCTGTTCCCTGGTTTGGGGATATATTTCTCTTCAATGACTGAACTCTTTCATACACACACACACACGTAAGAGTGTGTCTTATACACACATAAAAACATACACGATCCTTAGTTGTTAAATTTTAATATTTTCTTTCTTTTCAGTTATATTTACATGCATTCGAATGTACCTTCTCTCCTTTGTTAATCAATTAATAGTTATATAAAATATCACCTTGAAATTTATTCCATTTCCTTTCACCTCTACAAATAATGACAACTTGTCATTTACATGTGTAAATTTTGTTTGCCTTTGCAAAGTAGCGAAACGAAAGCTCTCTTTCATTTTAGCATATATCTTAAATCAGATTAGAAGAAAGAATTATATTCCTGTACGGAAATTTAAACTAGCAGAAATTAACAGGGAAGAGAAAAGACACCTGAGATGTGTTTGTTTCTCATCTCTTTAATTGATGTGTTAAAATCTATTCACTCGCGGACAGAAGCTTTTAATCATTAGGGAGATTTTTTATCTATTATCATAAAACAAAGAGAATGGCTTTGGAATTAATTTCAGGTTTTACTGGCCCAAAATACTTTATTTTTCTCTTAAATAAGAAATGTCATATTATTTAGATTTAAAAATGTTTCGTACTCGGAAAATTTTAAATCGTCAATGAATTGTGGTTATAGAAGTGCTAGAGAAAAACGATAATAACAACAAAATTGTAATATGAGCTCTAGTAAAAAAAAAAAAATTGGTAACTGTGTCATTAGGTGATAAGTTTCAAAAATTCATGTAAATTCAGTAACGCACGGTCCAGTAGATAAAAGCATTGGTAGAATGCAGTGACTTGACCCAATGTGTTCTGAGTTCAATACCTGGCTACAGCAGAGTTTGGTTAAAGGGAGATTAATGAGACATCCAAAAGAGGCATGGCACGTGTAACTAGAACAAACCAACCTCCCAAGGTGGTTCAGTTCAAAATTCCAATCAATGATCGAAACGTCAGACTATGACAACGAAGATGAGAACAGCAGTAAATGATATACATATAACGCAGACTTTCACAAACTTTGTTTTTTTCGTAGTCGACCACATTCAGATTGAAAGAGTTTCCACCGTTCACCTGTATATTAAATGTTCAAAAGCATACAGTAATGGGTAAATTATGTTTCAACTGGCACTTTTTCCTGCCTTCATAAATTCAAGATGGGTAATGTGTTAAAAAAAAGGTCCAAACAATTTTATACTAAATAAAAAAAATTATCCTGATCTCCATTTTTAATTTTACTGGCAGTTTCTCCTTTCTCTTCCATTATCTGATTTATATCAGAAAAAATATTATTTTGTCTGAAGAACTATTTGAATGCTAGCGATCCTTCTCAAAACTATAGAAAACATCAAAATATTGCTTCTTTGCGGGAATATTTATATTTTATCTAGGATTGTAGCCCCGTTTTTCCCAAACTAGCACCCCCGTTGTTTTTTTAAATGTAATTTCATTGCATATTTCTTTTGAATATTTTTTTCGAGTAGCATAATTTGAAATATTTTTTTTAATACTCAAAATCTTATATTGCCCACTATTGCTCGTTGCCTACCCAACAGTGGAAATCGCCCTCCGGTGTGCGATATCACCCAATTTAGTAAAACCTACTATAACTGATTTTAAAAGTATATAGAAAATCTTAACAATCTGAATTTCTGGCGAATAAAGATTTCATATCCCTCTATTTATATTAATATAAATTTACCCAACCCATGCTTTACCACAATTCTTCGCCTGATTTTAAGCCAATGTCTTCTGAAATATTTTTCACGAGGTCGCTCTTGCTCTGAAAATGTATTAATAAAAAGCTGATAAAATCAACAATTTATTTTATCGAGCCTACCCTTCATGTTGCCAAAAAGATGTGTCTGAATAATTACAGTGAAAATCGCCATTGTGTTATATGTTGCGAAAAATGTAAAGGAAAGTAAAGTTTCTCCGAGCCAAGAACGACCTCATATCTGGCATGCTTCGTATACAATTCCTCTTCCCAACTTACATTTATGCTATCACAAATACTCATGGCCTCCAGGCTATTACTTTAGGACATGACTTCATTTCTCCCAAATGTTCTGCATCTTGTACCTTTTATTCATTGATATTTTAAATACATTTCTATTGCAGGATTTGACTCGGAAACATTAAAATAGCAGAGATTAACCTCAGGGCTTCTTTGATTTTCGTTTTATTTATCTCAATTTTATTACTTTTTCACTGTCTACAAACGTCCAATATCTACCCATATATTAAAAAATTGAAAATCCATACGACAGTAAAAGAATAAGTAATAATTTGAAGATTTGGAGTTAAGAAGTCTCACTGTGGTTATCTTTTTTACCCTCTATCTGCATGGGAACGATTGAAAGAGAGAGAGAAAAAAAAAAAAGAGTCAGCCGATACGATCCCTACGCATGCGCAAACATGCACCTATACATTTATTGTATATTAGTAGTATTTTACCTTGTAGTAAGTTAAGCCATATCGGTTTCAAAGTTTCATAAAGACACCAAACAATGTTCTAATAAAATCCATTATAGCGATAAGTTATGTTCATATATTTGTGTCTAATTTTGAAATATCTTTAGCAAGGCACACAGGGTTAGAAAAACGTATTCTTCTAATTTCCTTACAATCAAAAATTAGGAATATTCGTAAATAGTTGTTTCTTACCGATAGGTTTGCAATAGGAGAAGATAGGTTCGCCTATCGTCAAGTTCACACTCCAACCCGATCTTTTAAAGGAGAAAAGGTTTATCCCTTGTTTCCTGTTTAGGATTGGCTTTCTGGTTTCTTCTAAATTCTACTTCGGGTTTATACTCCTGACGTTTGTCCTACGCTAATACAACTCCAAACAGTAACCCTCTACATTGAGTGGCTCTTAAGGTTTGTATTGGGTAAACGTTACTAAAAAGTAATTTAAGCATTAATTAAATTATAAATTAGATTAATTTCCATAAACCTATGATTTTAAAAGTTATATCCAAAATGATAGGAGGCCAGTTTTATTCGTTCTTTGCCCAAACCACGTCATACTTCGACAATCCCTGTCCGAAAATTAAAGACAATAGCCCACAGCCGAAGTAAGCCAATTTAACTATGTTTACTCGGGACGCCAGACCCCTTCTGCTTCTCTCATTATCCAGCCCCCATATACGTCTACAGTACTTAAATCGTCTTTCGGCTGTGTTGGACATGCCACCTGGGACCTTCGATTTGCTGTATTAGGTAGTAATTGAATATATCCTTAGAGTGAGGTCGATCGGAGGAAACAAACAGGATTAAAGTAGACGAGGTTGTCGGCTAAAGAATTACAAGTTGGATGGAAGCCTTTTCAAAATGTACATACAATAAATTTGTACTTTGGACGAGGGGAAATTAACAAAACGTCAATGTTCCTTTCTGTTTACTTTGGCGTTCACTGAAGCAACAAACGTCCTTGGTCGTTTATCGTGATAGTAAAACAAGCTGCTTTGAAAGTCAAATGACGAACATTTATGTTACTGCTGCTGAATTGATTTCATGAGAACAACGAACAGAAAATTGGCTTTCAGAATTTTTTTTTGTACATCTGAGTCGAAGGCTTTCTAAAATATTCAGATTCAACTCTACCAACTTGAGTTTCTTGTTTTCGAAAGCTGGGTAAAACACTCTTTACATACATGATAAAACTCAAAAACGAAACTGCTGCTAAACTCCAGGAGAGGGAACCTTCTCAGACTAACGTTTTCAGCTGACATGAATTAGAAAGGGTATATTGAATCAATTGTTAAGTCTGCAGCGGAGAGATTTAGTTCACTATGCCACGTAAATCTCGGAAAAACTAACTTACATATTAAAAAGTCTACACTGGTTTTTGTTTTCAATATTGCTGCCACATCTGGGCTGGCGTTACTTCTATATATTTAGAATTCTTTGATAATTACAAACAATAATCTGCAATGTTATTGGTCCTGACTTGTCATCTCGGCTTTCCCACTGGCGTAAATAATCTACCCTGTGTATTTTCTATAAGTATTTTCACGATAATTATTCTGATGACCTTTTCTCTATGGGACCTAGAATTTATGAATTTAAACGCAGTACTAGTGTAGCGACAGGGTCTCATCATTTTACTTTTGAAATGACTAGATGCATCGGTAAATTTTATGCTGTTAGTTTCTTCTATTGCACTTATCACTTGTGGAACTCTCTTCCGGCATCTTGCTTCCCAGTCAACTTTGATCTTCAAATTTTTATTGTCCTCTCCTTTAATAGTAGTGTTTCTCGTATTCTCTAACACTCAGTGCCGCCTTGCGTCTGAATGGCTTTATTGCCTTGCTTGAGTGAAATGATTAAAAAAAAAAAGAAAATATACATGAACAAGTTAGGTTTTCATTTTCAAAGAAATGAAGTACCAATTCCAGAGGATTGTCACTTCGTCAGCCCCAACCTGTTTACACTCACTGATGAGTCAGACGATAACAGATTAATTTATACTTATGAGTTTGTCTATAGTGAAAACAGTTCAGAAGTCGAATTTGTAAAATGTCATAAAAGAACGAAGAGAAGCTTTCCTGCAATCACAAAGCTTGTAAGCTTAATAAATCCCAGTGGATATCAGACAGCAGATAAACGCGTTCAACACAACATATTTTTCAGTTTTAGTGTCATACAAGTCGTTAAGCGAATCAAAAATTAGGCCAAACTAATAATCTCTTCCCTCTGCTTACTAAAAGATTTAATCTGAAGCCATTATGAACTCAGAGGCCTAAATAGATCGAACTTGGCATCATACTGTTAATGATAGAACTTTCGGAGAAGATGTATGTGAACCGATGCATCTAACTTCAATTTGATATGATGTTGAGACTTTATATGCAAATTTGGCTCTAAGAAAATTGTGATTGGTTATATTTTGTGATGTTTTCTGTTATGCCGGAACAATGGAGCGTTTCATTTCGAGGCCGTCTGAACGGCTCTATTTTCTGTGGAGAGAAAAACTGCTTTGTATGATTCATAAATACACCCACAGAGAACGGTCTCATTCTCTTAGAGAATAACTCTCAGGTACCTAAAGCTAGGGTTGCGTATAAGGCTCTTCAGCATCACTGGATACTGGTAATTTACTAAACAGCAATCCCTCGATCTGAATGCTATTGAACATTCGTAGGAAATAATGTAGCGAGCACTCTGTATTAGTCACACAGAGATACAAACGGTCAGGATTTGTTGCTAAGTGAGGCTAACACACACGTTAGTGTTTCTTTTTTCCGTTAATTTCAATAACGACCTGCTCAAAGTTGGCTGCTATTTAATTCGTTTTCTGTTGCTTATCAACTCTTTGCAGGTTATTTAAAGCCAGAAAATATTTTAAATTGTAAGAATTTTTTTAAAGATAAAAATGTTTTACTTTTACTAATTAGCCTTTAGCTGTGGAAAGAAGTGGATTCATTTTTTTTTTTTCAATGTTGTTTCCGCGTAAGTGAATATATCAAATCAAATGGGATTGGAACTCGGCTCTCCGAGTAACAATTCTGAGTCATTATCCGTTACACCACCCTCACATCCAAGCTAAAATAGATAAACGAGTGACAAATTTTGCATTAGTATAAGGTTGTTTTTTTTTTTTAAAAGAAAATAATAATTCTGTCTGTCTTTCTTGCCTTCAATATGTCCTGTGAGTGTCAACTTCGCCAGGCACTATGCGCTCATTATGGGTTCCATAAATTTCCATTCCCTTTCTGAATCTAAATATAAGTGTCCTTTTTGCGTCGATTTTCTTTTAAAATTTCTTCGTTGCTCACAAGTTCTGTCCATCTTATTCTCAACATCCTTCTGTAGAACACCATCTCTGTTAATATTTAACAGTCCCCCCCACAAGGGATTATGTGGCACAAGGCTGAGTTTACCGTGAGGTCTCCGAGCCCGTAGGCTCGGCCAAAAATATTCCCTTTGAACCCGTATGAACGGGTTCAGGGCTGTCTACCTCCCCGGGCGATCTAGTTCCACGTTACATGTTTAATGGATGTCAGTTATCAGTTATCTCCTGTTAATTCACCTCTCCAACATCTCCTCTGCCTTAACCAGGTATTAAACGGCCAAAACGTTGTAATAAATATAGCGACAAAGATGAGGACAATAGTCCGAATAATGTAAATAATGTACATAATACCTCATCTCAGAAATATAGACAGATACTTACATTTTCTTTCCCGCTTATCTTCATAATATTCCCTTTTTATTACTTCCTCTTGTACTCATATTGCCAACCTCATTCAGCAACCATCTATTTTATGCCTCGAGCATTGTCTTGAGTGAATGTTAATAAAAAAAATCTTTTATGGTGACCGAAATTGTTCAATTCTATGCCATGCCTTACTAGCAAAACTCATATCTTCATATTTTGTCTGGGCTATTCTTACTGTCTTGGTTTAGTTAGCATCAATCAACCAAACGTCTATTACACTTCTTTTTGTCTCGACCACATTCTTTATATCGTTTAAACTCTTCTGTGATATCTCTTTGTCTGTTATCTAATCAACCAAACGTTTATTACACTTCTTTTTGTCTCGACCACATTCCTTTATATCGTTTAAACTCTTCTGTGATATCTCTTGGTCTGTTATCTAATCAACCAAACGTTTATTACACTTCTTTTTGTCTCGACCACATCCCTTTATATCGTTTAAACTCTTCTGTGATATCTCTTGGTCTGTTATCTAATCAACCAAACGTTTATTACACTTCTTTTTGTCTCGACCACATTCCTTTATATCGTTTAAACTCTTCTGTGATATCTCTTTGTCTGTTATCTAATCAACCAAACGTTTATTACACTTTTTTGTCTCGACCACATTCCTTTATATCGTTTAAACTCTTCTGTGATATCTCTTGGTCTGTTATCTAATCAACCAAACGTTTAATCAACCTTTAAACGTTTAAACTCTTCTGTGATATCTCTTGGTCTGTTATCTAATCAACCAAACGTTTATTACACTTCTTTTGTCTCGACCCCTTTTTATATCGTTTAAACTCTTCTGTGATATCTCTTGGTCTGTTATCTAATCAACCAAACGTTTATTACACTTCTTTTGTCTCGACCACATTCCTTTATATCGTTTAAACTCTTCTGTGATATCTCTTGGTCTGTTATCTAATCAACCAAACGTTTATTACACTTCTTTTTGTCTCGACCACATCCCTTTATATCGTTTAAACTCTTCTGTGATATCTCTTGGTCTGTTATCTAATCAACCAAACGTTTATTACACTTCTTTTTTTTGTCTCGACCCATTCCTTTATATCGTTTAAACTCTTGATATCTCTTGGTCTGTTATCTAATCAACCAAACGTTTATTACACTTCTTTTTTTGTCTCGACCACATTCCTTTATATCGTTTAAACTCTTCTGTGATATCTCTTGGTCTGTTATCTAATCAACCAAACGTTTATTACACTTCTTTTTGTCCCTTTATATCGTTTAAACCTGTGATATCTCTGGTCTGTTATCTAATCAACCAAACGTTTATTCCTTTTTTTGTCTCGACCACATTCCTTTATATCGTTTAAACTCTTCTGTGATATCTCTTGGTCTGTTATCTAATCAACCAAACGTTTATTACACTTCTTTTTGTCTCGACCACATTCCTTTATATCGTTTAAACTCTTCTGTGATATCTCTTTGTCTGTTATCTAATCAACCAAACGTCTATTACTTCTTTTTGTCTCGACCACATTCCTTTATATCGTTTAAACTCTTCTGTGATATCTCTTGGTCTGTTATCTAATCAACCAAACGTTTATTACACTTCTTTGTCTCGACCACATTCCTTTATATCGTTTAAACTCTTCTGTGATATCTCTTGGTCTGTTATCTAATCAACCAAACGTTTATTACACTTCTTTTTGTCTCGACCACATTCCTTTATATCGTTTAAACTCTTCTGTGATATCTCTTGGTCTGTTATCTAATCAACCAAACGTTTATTACACTTCTTTTGTCTCGACCATATTCCTTTATATCGTTTAAACTCTTCTGTGATATCTCTTTGTCTGTTATCTAATCAACCAAACGTCTATTACACTTCTTTTTGTCTCGACCACATTCCTTTATATCGTTTAAACTCTTCTGTGATATCTCTTGGTCTGTTATCTAATCAACCAAACGTTTATTACACTTCTTTTTGTCTCGACCACATTCCTTTATATCGTTTAAACTCTTCTGTGATATCTCTTGGTCTGTTATCTAATCAACCAAACGTTTATTACACTTCTTTTTGTCTCGACCAAATTCCTTTATATCGCTTAAACCCTTCTGTGATATCTTGCTTCTGCGATTGAGCACTGTTTGTTTTCAAGCGATTTTGGTCGTCTCCATCTTTCGCAAACATACATAATCCTTGATACATTCCCTATCCATTTTACCGTTTAATAATATTGACAAGATTATGTCTCTATTGTTATTAATATATGTAATGTTTTATGCATTCATGTATGTAAATAGGATTTTAAGAATTCAGCTAGGTGCAGGTATCTTTGAACGAAAACTTGTATACATGCTATATATATATATATATAGAAACGAGTATATTTTTTAACATTAACCTTTCCTACACCTTTAAGTGCGCGTTCATTTTTCTGTCAGATTCGTGTCATAATCTCAGGAGATGTCGCTTCATGGCGTTTCCAATGTGCGTGACAAATTTGCTGAGAAGTGTGGCGTAAAAGGGAGGAGATGTTTTGATTGGAACTGGACTTTACATGATTGTTTTGAACGCCTGCCAAACGTAACGTAAAGGCATCTCTTTTATATAATGGATGTTTTTTTTTTTGTTGTTTTTTTTTCATATAATATTTTCGATTTTTTTATCTACGTGGGGGAAATGATTTGTGAAATTTGGTCTACTCTCGTAATTTAGGCGCGTTTTCCTTGTATATCAATGGATAAGTGTTCCTTGGAGATTTCGCTTATATGCCAATGATCAGGTTGAGCCTGATTAGCTGTTAACAGAAAAATGTATTCTGTGTATGTATATCCTATGTTAGAAATTCACTATATATATATATATATATATATATATATTTTCTAACATAGCTTAGATGTGGCACAAGGCAAAAAGTATGGGCGCCCAGTGAGAATCTAACTCCATATTCAGTCGTAAAAGCTTGCTACCTATGGCACATGGCTGTACGAGTGGTGCACCCAGTGATGAAATAACTCGCTACACTGTCATAATTGATCTAGCGAGACAAGTATTTTCTATGTATATATACATATATAAAATTACAAAAAACTCAGAAAAACGGGGTTACCTTTCGCCACAAATAAACAAAGTTTTGGAACTAGCAGAAAAAATAACTTTAGATCAACTACGAAACGCAAAGAAACGCAACATCGAACAAATTCTAGTATACCTTTCAACATACAACAAGAACAATCCAGAACTATTGACAGAAATAACAAGAAATCTAGATCTATTCAACAAAAAATATAAAATAAAGGACATACTAAAAATAAGCAAAATAGTTAAAAGTAAACGCCAATCAAAAAACTTAAAACGCATATTAACCTCATCCAAATTTAACCAACACACAATACAAGGGGATCACAAGATAACACAAAAAAGATGTGGGGTTTGTGATATCATTATATAAGGAAACTCCAATACTTTTGAAAAAAAAAAACACAACATTGACAAAAAAGAATAACTTAAACTACAACTCCGTAAATGTGATTTATGCACTCAAGTGCCCAAAATACAACAAATCCTATATAGGTATCACCCGAACACTAAACAACAGTTTCCTTTCACAAAAGCAATATTAAATTACCAGACAACAGGAAACAATTTATGTCACAACACATCCACAAATACAGCGAAGGTAAATTTTAAATTATGCTAGTATATAAAACAGATGATCACACTTACTTACAAATACAAGAGAAATTTCATTGAAACTAGCAATAAACACATCAAACCACACATTTATAACCATACTCTATACACACATTGTGGCAAAACACACTTGTCGGATCACACACACAAACACACCATACAAAATACATACAGTTACTTTATAGATTTCTTTATAATATAATACATAGAGAATGAATATATATGCACATACTAGCAAAACAAAAACATTAGACAGACCACATGCACGAACACTGCACGCCATACAAAGTGTGTGTATATATACTATCTCCTTGTAATAAAACAATATATATGTATAGAGAAGGATTATATATATGCATACTAGAAATACACAATACATAAAAATGATAAAGGTTTAAAAAGATGCAGATGACATAAAAAATAAGAATAAAGACTTTATTCCTTTTCCTTTCTCTGACCAATCCTAATTATTTTATTACCACTTAAGCAAAGGAATATTTTTCCGCCAGTCCAAAAAGAATTTGGATCACTTCCACACACAAAAGACAATGGTTAAGCATAAGAAAACATAAGAAAAAATTAATTCTTTAAATAATATTAAGAAATAACAATTCTTTTCCTGATGAAGGTCACAAGACCCAAAACCAGTGTAGCAAAAAATATGAAAATAAAGTATAATATATAAAAAAAAGCCACATTATAACCAAAAACGTTTACGGCTTTTCTTTTCCTCTTTGTCATATATATATATATATATATATATATATATATATTCGCCACCGTGCTCTTTAAAAGTATGGTTCTGTTGTTCATTTTTATGGGAACAGACAATAACGAACTCTGAATCGTCTGTCTTCAATTCAGGGACATTATTATCATCATAATGACCTCTCAGTTTTATAGCACACAACGATTTATTTGTAGCGTTTATTTAATTCGGATCAGTTTTTCTCAATCTTATTCTCGTTAATTATGTCCAAACCCCTTTTTATACTTTGATCTGTCATTAAAAACGGTTGACACGTGTTACACTAAGCACTAATAATATTTGAAATTATATAAATCGGGCGTATTCTTTTATTTTTATCATTCCAAATTCGCGGAAGGCTGATTTAAGAGAAAATTTGTGTAAAGGAACACAAGAAAAGGAAAAGAAAAAATATAAAGAAGGAAAAACTAAACTCACCGAAAGCAAATGAAGTAGTCAAATCGTCTAAATTGTATTGGTCGTTAAATGTACTGGTCGCTTAAATGGTACTGGTTGTATTTAAATGGTACTGGTTGTACTGCTCGTTTAAATGGTACTGGTCGTTAAAACTACGGGTCGTGTTTAAATGTTACTGGTCGTAAAAGCCATTTCCATATATGGAAATATTATTCATTCATTCATTGAGCATCAATGAAATTTAAAAAATCTTTATCTTAAAGCAATTTTCCATGAAACTAGGTTATCGCTCTTTTCCGTACTTATGGGAACTTCATTCTTAACATTTAGTTTGAAAATGTGTGAAACGTCAACATCCTCTGTATGTCAATATTTTCACTTCTACTTACATGTGCGATCCATATTCAGTTGTTACCCTTATTGAAAGGTCTTAAGTGATACATCTTCTGTTATTTTGTAAAGTTATTTATGATTCTGTAGCGTCATCTACCATGTTCTAAAAAAGATGACACAGTAAAAGACGTACAGGCTTTATTTGTTCGTTGCATACAGCGGATAATTTATGTATTTCTGAAAGGGAAACATAAAATCTTAGATATTTTTGTCATTTTGGATATTTGTAAAGAAAAAGATAAATCAAAAGAAAAAAATACAAATTATGTTTGCCAGGAAGAAAAAAAAAAGACGAGGAATATTTGTAATTAAAAGGAGAGAAACTGGAATTTTTTTTTAAAGCAAGATTTTAAAAAATGACATATGGAAAACTGCAAAGATGAGCAAAAATAATCTGAACAAAAACTCAAAGTGAAAGCAACACATATATTTTTGAAATCATAGACGTATATA